ATGACGGCGGTCGCCGCGGCACCTCCACTGGGGCTAGGTGCCGATGGAACGTTAGTCACTACACCTATGGCACCTACTCCACCGCTGCTACTACCAGCGCTGCTGCCGCCCGTGCTACTGCGATACGGTGACGGGGGAGCCCCAGACCCGGAGAGCTCGAGTTTGCGATACGATTCCTCGATCGGGCTGAGGATGTCCGTGACGGAGAAGGGTGTGGTGTGAGGCTGATGGTGTTTGGGACTCAGTGACATTGCCAGGTCAGCACCATTGAGTTCCGGTAGCAGGCCATGGAGGTCTGCAGCCGCCGATCGGGCGAGGGCGGCCGCGGCCGCGACTTCCTGCTCCTGTTGGCTCAAGTTGGCCAACAGCGAGAAGCCCGAAGGGACGGACACCGACGACGACGAGACCACTGGGAGAGCCAGCGTGCACGAGGCTACACCCGCAGACATGCGCTGCCACGACACACACTCTACGTGCCTCTTGTAACCCCGACGAAACTGCTTCTTCTTATTCTCGCTTTCCGCGCCGAGCAAACTCTTCAAGTGGAGAGCTCTTACTCCCCAGGGTGGAATTATGGGTAATAAATCAGCTGGAGACACTGCGGGGAGGAGTCAGGAGTGCCTGGCCAATCCCGTGGAGGGAACTTCCCACTGGAGAAGCCACGCCCCCTCGGTCGTCCCACTGGTTCGCGATGGACCCAGCCCCTTCCTGATTCCCGCCCAGCAGAGGCAGGTAGTGCGTCCATTACGAGCTGCTGTTTTTGTTTGCCAGAGGTAATAATTTAAAAAAGAAGGACGGATGGCTTTCGGATCTGCGATCCTGACAGCCGTTGGGACTTCCGGTTTTACGTACATCTTTTTCGGGAAGCGAATAACACGACGACGGACCAGAAATCCTGGCTGATTTCCTTTAAGTTCTGTCGAGAAAGAAAATATAGACCAGTCTCCTTGAAGATGCTGGTTCACACGGCGGTGCGTATGAAAATTGCCATCTTTTGCTTTGTTGCCACTGATTACAGTTAATGACTAAGCAAAATGATCAATCTAAATTGACAAATAAACATCGTGAGATGGAGACGTGAGGCTGGTTGAATGAAAGTTGTCGCACAGGGCAAGTTATTATGCAGACGCGTTACAAAGTCGCCATCACGAATAAAGCGTCGCTGTTGGAAAAACTTGCCACATTCAAAATGACGCTCTGCGCATTACAAATCTCCGCGATAAAATTTCTTAGGAAATAAGAATCCTCCGTAGTGGAGTTAAAAATCAGGTTTTTTCCCCTGAAAGGCGAACGAATTCTGTTAAAGGCTTCACGGTTGATTTGCAAATTACAGGTGGAAAGTCACGCATTCTGACGATAAGACACGCCACACTCTTGAAGGGAGCAAAATTTAAGGGTCTCTTTTAAGCAATCAAGCGCTGGCTTATTTCCGATTTGCTTACAAAACCATTGTAAGGCACTACTTAGTCCAGTTCAAATTAAAAATACGATCGCAATAACATTGTCCTTCTTAAGTCAGCTTCTTTGACGTGTTGATAACAAAGCAGATTTGTGACCGTTTGGCCTATGCATGGACACATTTGGGCTAAGGAAGGCAATTTTATTTTATGTTTTAGCACTGCTTAAAATTAAAGTTTATTTTTCGTTAAGAGCTGATGTTTCCAACCACATTTAGACTACACTAAGACAGGTTTTTGATTAGCGGTCCTCTTCAACTTCACCACGAGACGTGAAATGAAACATCTGAAAAAGGAAACACTTCATTACAGCGCTCCTTCATTAAAGACGTATCAAAGCGTCTCCTTAAACGTCGCACGCCGCGTTTTAATGCACAGGAACTGAATGGCTCTCGGAGAGCGGTCAGCCAACGCCACTCTAAGGCCGACACCAACCGCTGTTTATATAAACCGACTCTTAACATTTTCCCCGCTGCAAGGAGTTGTACAGTCCAAGTAGGATCTACCGTCAGGACACGTGTAGACCTACAAGTCTAGACCAAGGACCATGTCTCCTGTGTTCACCCACGCTGCCGAAACTCTTCTACACACATGTACAGTCCGCGACTGTAATCTTGAGACTTGCGGGGTGAGGAGGTGGGGTAAAGGAGGAGAGATAGCGTCTGCCTTTAACGCTTCGGACTTCCTGCATTCCTTGCAAGTATCAAGATTACAGTCGCGTACTGTATTTTTAAGTGTTTTCTTTTTAAGCGAAACCATGCTTTTTAGACACTTTCTGTCCTGTGCGTCTGCCAATTCATTAAACCTGGAGGCGTGTTACCATATTCACAAAAACTCGTTACCAGTCCTTATCCTAAGCTGTATGAATCCAATCCAAACCTACAAAACAATTTCTCTAAGAGCGACTTTAATATTATCCTCCTATCTACGCCTAGGTCTTTCGAGTAGTCTCTTTTGTCAAATATTCAAGTCAGGTATTTTACGATATTTTTTTACTTACTGCCTCCATCATCAGGGCGATGGCCCTGATACAGGAAAAACCTCTGCAACGTCGTTAAACATCTACCAGACTACACGGTACATAATCTCAGAAGGCAGTCTTCTATAATAGATTTGACATTCGACAGCTGCGAGATTGAATTTTGCCATCTATCGATTGATCGATCGATCGATAGTGCGTTCGACTTCTACAGTGCGATTGGCTTAGGCAGAACCGTGTAACGTCGTCTGTAGTTGAGTGTACCTGCGAAGCAAAACCTCTCGCTCTGTGCGGGAGTAGGCCAAGGGCCATCAAGTCTGCCGTCGCAGTCTTCTGACTGGAGAGTCTATTCCGTCTTTAAGGACCATCAATGGCTTCGTTTCTCACTTAACACAGTATTATATACATACACACGAGTCTCTTATTGCCTGAATAAGATTTCTGATGATGCTGTTGTTGTAGAATTGATAGCACTCGTCACTGATTAATGGCGGGTGTTCATTCTATGCGGTTGCCTTCACCTGGTATATACAAGAAACGCATTGCCATTTTGATTCACAGGTTCAGTGAAGTCGTTTAAGGTTAATCATCGAGTAGCTGTTGCATTTAAGCATATTCGCTCTTCACCTCTTTGACCTTTTTCTCTGGCCTATTCCGAATTAATTCTGAAATAAATAAACGTCTCCTTTATTGATTGAAGATTCGTAATAGATCAGTAAACTCTTTCAGTGGTCCAAAATCAAGCAGCTGCTATTTTTGGCCACTGAAAAGTTGAGACTGTCAGAAAAAATCATTTCAGTTTCTGCGTTCCTTCTGTTATTCTATGCAGTTATACGCAGTTGTGATCCATAGGAAGGAAAAAGCCGTATGGATCTATGTTTATTTCAATTATGTCAATGTCATTAAGAATTTTATTTTTTATCGTTTATTGTGTGTAATCTATTCTTTGGTATTGTATTTATTTATTCTCCAGAAATAGAGGAAGAAAATACTTAATACAGTTTGTTAATTTACTAGTTTGGAAACAGCTTTGAAGCCATAATTCTGTCTGAGTCTTCGTAGAGGAGTACAAAAGAGGACAGAACAGCTAATCTGCGCGTAATTTTAGTTGGAAATTAAAATCAATATAACGAATGTGATCCCAACTTTTTAATCTTCAATGCCATGATACCGCAGTTTAAATTTTATAATAATTCATTTTTAAAACGCTAATTACACTCTTCATACAGTTAAATCTGTTATAATAAAAAAGTCTTGATAATAGGCCTGTACATTGCGCGCCTATAGGCCTATTTCGTGACAGAGTATTTGTAATATCAGTTATTAATGCAAATCCGTATTTAATTGGGGGAGATTGTGACCAATGAAATGAACAAATTACATTGTTACGGCATGGGACTACGTAAAAGTTAGGCGCCTGCTTTGGAATGATGCATAGTTATTAAAACAGTTTTAAATCCCTTAGCAGGCTAATCCATATGATAGGATTAAACTATGGACTGTGGCAGACGAGTGTAAATGGAGTATTATCGGAGTTTTATTGTTAGGCTTTGGTTGTTGAGCGTGCCCTATGAAATGAAATGAAATGCCAATAATAATTGGCATTTAATGCAAACATGCGAGGCGCAGGGTTGTTAAATATGTGTAACATGTTTGTTTGTGAAGCACTCACCAAATAAGTCCTCATTATATTTTGCGGCTAAGCCCAATGGTTTCCCCGTCTGTTATCCTGCGGAATGCCAATGTAATGATGAAGTTCTAACAAAGGCTAATTGCCTCGAACGCGTCGTACCTGGACACATAAATTCATAATGGCATTTCGTAATGCCGTATATGACACTCATTTGTTTAAAATCTGGTCTAACCAGTCTGCGGCTCGCGAGCAGTTAGCGGCTCGCGGACTTCTCTTAATGACCTGTTTATATTTTAATAAGGCCTAATTTATTTTGTCACCTTGAATTTAGTAGCACGCCAAAGTAGTGTCTGTGAGTAGGTCACTGAAGAGATTATTCGGACCTAAGAGTAAGGATAATAGCAAGGAGGCTGTGGCGTGGAGGTAAAATCCTTCTGTGACCTTGAAGCACAAAGTTCGATAACAAATACTATAAAATAGGGCTGAAAAGAAAATATTTACTGAAGTTTAACGTTTATAAATACAAATCTGGCTATTAACTGGTAACCAGTGCATCGTTCAAGTTTCGTACTTTCCTAAGTAAGAAGGACACTGGTCGTGTTTTACGCAGAAATATTTGCCACATCTAGTTTTGGCTGTGCTGTGTGTGAAGAATTACCTTCATTCGTTCTGTTTATTTTTATCGCTCCACCTTAAGATGTTTGATCCATTGTTCCAAAGCAGAATGCACCAATTAGAAAAACAACAACTTGTGATTAAGAGGCAATTATTATGAGTTAATTTGTGCACATGTTATTTATGCGATATATCTCGCGCTGACCTTTGGCTTTTTAATACATTCTGCTACTTTTTCGAACTTGTACAGACGTTTCGTAAGACTCCTTGGGCGAGGAACCAGCAAACCGAAAGCCCCTGCCTACACAGGATAGTGAAACGCGGAGAAGCAGCCCTGTCTGAGCCTCTTGTGAGATTCGAAGCCACGATACCAGGCTTTGAAATTTAAAGACCCATGGCATTCTTGTTATCTGCGAGCTGATAACTATATGTATCTCCAGTAGCTGCGTGGTATAAATTTCGCATATTGATGATGGAAGCAGAAAGCACCTCCGAAACATCGGTGAACTTCTACCAGACAACACAGCCCTACAACTCATGAAACAGTTATCTTCATACTCGCAGCCGTGAGAACCTAGAAAACCCCTCAATCTCGATAAAGAAGTTCATTAAGAAGCCGTAACAATGACAATCGCGAATTACAATAACGAGCCATTATCCTGTTACAATAGCGGTCGCAATCCGTTACCACTCTTAGAACAATTGCTCCTACCCTGTCTTCAGATCGGCAGTAGTTCGCTGATTGCCCGCTTAATTGCAGCCATGAAGTGATTTGTAATGAACGGATTCAGCACTCAACCCCTGTCTCTCCCCCTCTCTGTCTCTCTCTCGGAGAGAGAG